ATCAAATGTCTTCTCGTCTTCTTCTCGCTCTTCGCCTACAAATATGGCGTCCAATCGCTGTCCGACACAATCGATTCGCTGCAACAGAGAATGTTTGGAATGGTTTTGGAGAAACTCTTCATTCCTGAGGTCCAGAAAGTGTCGGGAAATGTGGAGAAGAAGATCATTGCGTTCGGAATGACGAAGATTTTGTGCGAACTCGACTCGACAATCGTCGGCCAATACTCGCAATTCTGGGCTCCGGTATTGCAGTCATTGGTGGCGCTCTTCGAACTGCCCGTCGATGAGACGATTCCAGACGACGAGCACTTCATCGAAATCGAAGACACACTCGAATATCAGGCCTCGTATTCCCAACTCGTATTCGCCGGACATCGAGATCGCGACCCATTGGCGGGTGTGGTCTCTGATCCCAGAATATATTTGGCGCAGTGTTTGGGCAAACTGTCGGTCAAACATCCGGGAAAACTCAATCCTCTCATTACTACTGGTTTACCTCCAAATGCCGTCTCATTCTTACAGCGCTATTGTATGGACGCAAACGTTACCATCACTTAAATGTCATTTTGTTTTTTGCTTTTTACTTCTAATATCATATTCTGTATTGATTTTCAAATTGTAATAAAGATTTTATTCAATTATTAATGAAAGTATGAAATGAATTAAAAGACATTTAAGAAAACTATAATAAATCTCAAAATATTGTATATAAGTGTGAAGTAATGAAATATAAACTAATGTTTGGATCAGTTGTCGAGCTGATAGTCGTTATCGAGTGAATGCCAAAACTGTTGAGACATTGTTTTCTGGCATTTGTTCTCATTATCCATAACTATAAGTCTTTCTAAACTCTTCTCTTCGTTGTCATTGAAAAGCACTAAAAAAAGTTGAAAAACGTTAAAACTAATGAATGATTGGACGAAAACAACAGGTCTTACATCCGATCACTTGTGAATTACTCCATGTCTTATACATGACTCGCATAACAGACGCCAGAAGAAGGTATTCATTGGTATCGTTGCCATTGTTTTGTTGTTTCAATTCTTTCACTTTACACTCCATTTCGTCCAACCTTTTGGTCAAACTCTTTGTTTTGTTCGTCAGATCTGTTTTGTGACTCTTTTTGTCCGTCAATTGTGAGCTCAACGACTCGACGCGTGTCTTGAGATCCAACGAACGGTTAATCAAATCGGTTTCAGTGGTAATCGTGTCGTCGAATTGGCCGACGATTTCCTTCAATTGAGTGCATTGTTTCGTTTGTAGCGCTTCCAGGAGTTGATTGTTTTGCTCAAGACTTTCGGCCAACGGATCAAACTTCGAGTCCAAGAATTGGTTCAACAAATGGTCAGTGAATTGAAACCAATTGTCGGAAACGCTTTCAATGTGTTTCAAACGATCGCTCATTTGATCCAATGGTTCGTCACTTCTTTGATCGCTTCCCTAAAATGGACGCAACGGTTATCAACACAGCGACGACTGGACGGCACCGGCACTCACCACAAGACAATCTTCCGATTGGTTGGCCATCGAAGTCAACTCAATTGATCCCAAAAATCAAAACAATATTTTCATTCAATTATTGTTTGAATGCTTTTCAGAGAAAAAGCGCTCAAAAAAGTTAACGATTTTTGAAATAAGTTTCAAATATTATGTCATAAATAACGTCACAATTGATCGCAAATGCAGTCAATGCGAGACAATTGAGACCCCAATTGAAGTGATGTTTGACTCAAACGCCCGATAATTGCCTAAACTTTAGGCCCTAAAGAATCGTATTTTTAGTTTTTGGTTATTTTTAAACTGCATTAAAATTGACATTAATTTACATTTTCATTGAAATATCGTATTATATTTGGACGAAATGTTTGACAGTTTAATGCACTTCTATATGAAATTCAATTCAATGCAATTCTACAATAATTCTACAATTATATTGCACTTTTGTGCCCAATAATTGAGCAAGGTCTCATTTTATATTGACAATTATATTGACATTCATTTATACCAATCATGGCTTAAATATTATTTTTGCAAATGATTTTACGTTTCATTGATTTGGAAGACTGTCTGCGAAATGAATTTCATGAATAGATTTGTTTGAATAAATCTAAACGAATGCACAGTAATATTGAATGAAAGCTTAATTTCAAGTTTTCTGGATTTCAAGTTCATGTAAGACTTGTTTGAAGCGCTTGTTTCTCAATATCTGAATGGTTTGGTATGGCATAGGAAGACAGAGGTGGGCACCGGTGGGCACAGGTGTGACCATTCATTGCAAACCACTTCGCAATCGATGCGAAAGGATATTCTCAAAGAATTGAAATTAATTGACAGCAAAAGAATTGTTTGGTTAGGAATAGCCTTAAACTCAATAGCGATCGCATTGTCTGTCTGGCCGTCCCTTCACTTTAACGACTCGTCTGTTACACACATTCTCGAGAATCCTTCGAATGAAGAGTTAATGAAATAGACATTGAATTAATCGTCAAAATGTTTTATCGCTTAAAACCTGTATTTTTTAGCGATATATTAATTATATTTGTAATTGAATTCCAAATACATTTCTCAATACTATTGTTTTAAACGATGTTTAATACCTTTGAAATGTATTTCAAAAAAGGACAAAAATCATGACTTTTATGTGAAAATTTGTTTTTGGCATCAATTCATTCATTTAAGTATTAAATATTTAAATAAAATTCATTTTACACAAGAAATAAATTTTTGAGATACGAAAGAATAAGAGAATTAAGACACGGGAATAGATCTGACTCTAGATTTAGATAATTATATATACAATATGATAGACACAATTGAATACACAATTATGTCAAACATAACTAATTACAGAATAATGGGTGCATTTTCCTCTAGATTTAATTTAATGTCTTCATTCAAGTCCTTATATATCACTAAAATAGTGATTTAGTTTCAAATTAATGTTAATATAGTGTAACTAATGAGTATTTATTGTGTCCTATAATCTCATATATCTGTCTATATTTATCATTATAAATGTGTCACATAAGACATACTGTAGTATAAGTCTGACCCAATATATTGAATAATAATGTATTATACAGTATAATAAATTCAACGATTCTTTTCCGGAGAGAGAGAGATAGATAGAGAGAGAGTCGAAAATGTTGTAAATATGATAGAATTGCATAATTTGTACATTTTAATACTTTAGGGTCATTTAGAATATTTAACCGGTAAGCGATGGAAATAAATAACTTTTAGCCTTAAATTTAAAGTAAAATAATTAAAAAATCAAAACTAAATGATATATAATTGTAAATATTTTAATGAATATTTCCTTCAATTGTATGTAGCATTTGATGGCCTTTTGGTAATTAATGGCAAATACAGTACAATATAATACAAATACTTACGCAAACAGTTTGGATAAATAATATACAAATAAATCTAATAATTAATACTTAATAATAGATATTTTTACAACAGAGACGAACGCTTTTTAGTAAAAATATATTTGAAACAAAAATAACAAATCATTTTCATTTCAAAGCCTCTCTCTTATTACTAAATGAGATAATATTCACATAATTTATAATTTATTGAATCAAACATTAATTCGATGGCAATATATAGTGTATTGATTGTAATAATCAAAACAAATACTGTATTGAAAAATGTTTTTTACAACATGTGTTCCCTTGACTTCTGGTTTGATGTGATGGCTATTATCAGTGCCAACACTGTTGACCACAATTATAATGAAATGGCAGTGATTTGACAAATGAATCAATTAAATCAACAAATCAATCCAAAGAGTGCTCTCATTGCCAAACAATTCAAAGTAATAAAAATGCATTCAATTATTTAAAATGAGTTTCAAATTTACTATCAAATCATTTAAATAAAAAGCGATTCGCAATACTTTGGCTTAAAATTTAGTTTAGTTTTTAGACTATATATATATACTTAAATATTATATATAACATAGAAATTTAAAATCAATGATTGAAATAATACATCATTTATAGTAAATAATAAAATGGAGTTTTAGTTTAGGTCTGTTTGTCGGGTGTTTTGTTCACTGGTATTATTTCTCAGCAAATATTCTGTTGTTTTGTTGTTTGTATGTATCGTATAATAGTATCGTTTGTTTTATACAATATTTGCATAACTAATACATATGTTTTTGAAATGAATGATAGAAACTAACATCAAATCGATATGAGTTGACAGTAATTATATAAATTAATCGCATATCTTATGTCTTGTGGTCTCATCTCTTGTGCTTTAATTATAATATCGATAATTAAGTTAAGAATCGATCACAACATAAGACACGCACACAGTATTGACAGACATATCCAATGATATTGTAATGCAATTGAAATGTGAAATTAATGAACAAATAATTTGATGTCATTTACAAAAAAAAATCTGTTGACAATTGTCTGATCGATAAATATATGTATATTTGATTGCAGTTTTGTTTTCACATAAACACGAGATCTTCAATAATCACTTTAAACATAGTTTTTGAGGGATTTTTCGTTTGTAAAATAGTTTAAGACTTGTTTTTCTCCAAAATAACAATCGTATTAAAAGGTGGGCTAAAATCTTGCGACCATTTGTTTCAATGATTATCCGTTGATATTTTAAAAGGCATTCATTTCAATAATAAGTTCACTTCACATCAAAACAAGTTGTAGAGCACAGGGAGGAAGAACTACTGGTGCAAGAAGTTGTCGGCTCGAGTCGGCCTCCATATCAGTTTCGTTCATAGCTTACAGTTTCACTCAAATACTCTAATAATTGTAATAAACCTAATGTTTCACAAAGTCTTAAGACTGTTTAATCCGTTTCCGCGGCGGACCTATTGGAGGCATTTGTTGTGTGGCCAACGCTCGGAACGCTTCGGCGATGAGATGGGGCTGTCTGTTGATCATTGTCTTCCAGCCCTGCGTCTCCATTATGTCTGTCGCGTGTCTGCAATCATTAACACAATCATTAAAACCAACATTCATTACAATATATAACAATCATTGCATACGTATTGATATATTCAATGGCATGTGCTTTCAATTGGTTAGCGCTGTGCATATCAGCCAGTATTAGTACTTCTGCCGCCGTCTCCACCGATAAGTTTGAACAAAGAGACTCTTCACACATCACTTTCAGTCGCTCCAAATCGTACTATCAATTCAAACAAAACAGTCAGTCAGTGGTCAACAAACCAATGGTTCAATCAATCAATGGCTCACTTTATCGGCGGCGGCCAATAAGTCGGCGTCCATTTTCTCTAAATTAGTCGCTTTGCCGGTGTATATAAAGCGAAGCATTTCGCGCAGAACTTCGTGGTCCATATCCGTGATCTCGACTTTGTTCTGCTTCTTCTCTTCCATTTCGTGTTCAAACATAGCGGCGAAGACTGGAGATCGCGCCGCGAGAATGGCTTTGTGTGCATAATATTCCCGTCCGTTAACCACTAGTAAAACATCACTAAATTTTTGGCTCTCGAATAAAATACTTAAATCATCGGAAAGACGACACTCTGGAACTTTAAACTGTATTGAATTGTTTTGACCCGAAATGTTGACTGAATCGGCGACAACACTCACCTATCAATGCAAACACAATGTGTTAGTTATCGTTAAGTAAACAATCGTTTTATGTGTTCAACACTTACTTCGCAATAAAGAGTGAGTTTATCGTCGGGAAGCAAACCGTTTGCCTCATCCAAAAGGAAATCTCTTCGTATGAACTTTTTGAAGCCCCAGTCCTTTCCCTGAACGAACCGATAGGCTCTCTGGCTCTCTATATTTGTCGCAAACAGTGGTTAGCATTCAATACATAAATATTATGACACGACTTACCCATAGCTTTGGTCTCTTCTCTCTTAGCGTTAAGTATAGAAAATTTGAATTTAGCCCTCACTTCGGTTTTATTGCAAGAGACTAGCAGTAGATATAAGGACAGGTAGTCTTTACTTTCTTCGTCTAATCCTTTGGGATTGACTCGTAAACACCTATTAATGGAAACAATAGTTAATGGCTGTAATGGTCAACGATTGTACTGCAAGAGTGGGACAAACCATTTGAGTTTGTCGTTAGCGCCGGCGGAGAACGTAGAGCTTTTGAGGACTTCACCCATTTCTTCGCGACAGAAGCTGAAGTTGTTGATCGTCCACATGTACGAGAACTTGATTACCTTCACCTGAGTGTAACACCAACTCTCGGCCACTGGAGTGTTGGCTTCATTGGTGGGCGGCGGCGATGGAGCGCGCGATACGGCCATACCGGTGCTGCTGCTGCTGTTGATACCACAACCCCCGCTGTTAGCGCTGCCACCACTGCTGCTGCTGCTGTTGCCCGGAGTCGGTTCCGTTTTTGGGCGATTTGTCGGACACAACCGTTTCAAACGAAAAATTTATTGGTTTCCAAGTTTTGTTTGCAATTCAATACAAATCAAAACACTTTATGCCGTAATTCACTGTTAATTATAACGTTATCTATAAGAATGAGAGAACAAATGGGAACAAATAAGTCGGATGTCATTGCATTGTCAAAGGTATGGGTATATTATAGTATATTAAAGTCAATGAGCTTAGGGTTTAGGGCTGTCCACCTCTCAGTGCATTGAATTTTAAGAACACATATGAATAAAAAGTAAGAAAAATGTGGTTTTGCTACCAGTTTTCAAGAGTAGGCAATAAATAAAAACATTTTTATCAATGCTTTCAAAGACATCCACTTCTCTAACTCAAAACATTTATGCCATTAAACGCTTAGATTATTAAACATTAATTGAGAAATATTTTCCAAATCTGATTTACTTATGCTATTGAGAGATGTGTCGTCCAAACACTCCACTAAATACTGTTTATATTGAAAGTAAGGCCAAAAAACTCACACAAACTCAAAGGTACCCCAAAAGAAGTTTTGGACACTTTCTCATAATTCTCACGTCATATGCAAAAAATGATGAATTGTTTGCGTAAAGCATTGATTCGTTTGATTTATGGGGAGAGAGAAAGAGAGAGGACTTCGGGAGGAGGCAGTGGTAGAGCACCGGAGAACACGAGTGCAACAAATATTTTGCATAATAGCTGTGTATCACTGAATCACTGGTTCTTTGCATTTCTAAATACAGAGTAAAAGTTTTTAATACAATATAAAAGTGGTCTTTCATTCTATATAAGAGTATTCATAACATATGATGAGTCGTCGTCTTTAGACCCAAACTCTTAAAAGGTGAGAGTGGAGAGAGAGAGAGAGAGAGAGAGAGGCTAGAATCGGAGGTACTATATCTGCTAACCTGTGACCTCTAATGGAAGAGAGAGAGAGAGAGAGAGAAAGAGAGAGAGAGAGAGATGTGCTGTGACCGAGAGTAGAGCTGAGCTGTTGGGCTGTGAGTGCAGTGACTTGGGTTGGGTTGAATGATCTGCTCGAACATTGATCTCCATATGAACGGTAAGTTTGAAGTTTGTATAACTTTGAAAAAGTGGCTCAACTTTGGCAACATTTTCCCCAAATTAGGATAAATGAATGAATAGTTCACTAAATCATCATAACTTACCATTCAATCAATTCATTTCATTAAATAGAGAATCGCATACTTTTCACATGACTTTTAGTTTATGAAAAAGTTAACTAATTTTGAGCTCATCTTATAATTTGAACAATGATTTGTACGGATAAGTGATAAACACATCATTTGTATATATGTTTGCTTTTAGTACAGGTATTGATATAATTGAACGCCTATTATCTTCAGTGAACTCAACAAATAATAGATATGATATGATATATACATAAATGTATTGCAAACACGTCTAACACTGAAGAACACAATTGAGAGGAACGGTATAACAGATGGTAATAAAAGTATAGCTAAACTCTGGGACCTGTACTAAAAAGCAAACATATATACAAATGATGTGTTTATCACTTATCCGTACAAATCATTGTTCAAATTAAAGAGAGAGAGAGAGAGAGAGAGAGAGAGAGAGGCTAGAATCGGAGGTGAATGAGTCGACATTGTGTTCAGTGCTTTGCCATCGATTGGGAGCAGAAGAATGTCATTGCATTGCATCCCATCTTCAGGGGAAGGGATGTGCATCGGGTTATGGTTTGGCATTGTTATCATGTGGTGGTCGCCCACATCACTCATTATCATATGCAAGAGTAATGTCTTCCCAACGCCTTGTGCTATATCTGCTAACCTGTGACCTCATATCATACGGTCGAGTGCTCTGAGGGTCGGAGCTATGAGTTTGCGATCTGTTCAGCAATGATTGACTCCCGAGTCTTGAGAGCCAAATGTCTAACGAATTAGTGAACAGTAAATGTTATAATCCCTGAGCAAAATGTCCTCTAAAAAAGGCATAGCGTTTGTGAGTGAAGGCAATCGTGAGCCTCGCCTGACCTCACACTCAACGACCTCGAGTACAGTCGGAGTTGCGTTCACTACACATACTGTTCAGTCTGTGTACAGCACTGGCATCTCAGAGAGAGTATGCGAGAGACACACACAGGGAGAGAGAGAGAAAGAGAGACAACGAAGAGAGCAGAGTTCGTACAGGAGTTGTGTATTTATCTCTCCCTCGAAAACTCATCGAAAAAATGCTGAAAAGATTTGCCAAAAGTTTGAGTTATTGAGGAAAGCATTAAAAGCATTCATACAATGAATATAAGCGACGTCTCCATGAAATCAAATCAAAATCGGGTCACATATAGTGTACGAAATGACCTCAATATACAGCACAACCTTATTGTAGGCTATCGTTCACTGCTTTACCAATGAATACATTAATTGTTATATTAGTTACACATTTAGTCTCAAACTTTTTTGTTTGTCAATTGAATCAATACAACCGACAATACATACCAATCGTCAAACACTTCCACCACTTCCAGCACTACTTCTCATCGGTTAACACAACTCACGGCTAAGACATCACTCGATGTGAACAAAACAATTGATTCAAAACTCATCAATAGTTATGAATTTCAATGCAAAACATTTGAGAAAAGGGATGAAAAGACGACAAGAAATAAGTGATAACTAATGAGATATTGAATGAAACAAAAGCACAGAATCTTGTAATCAATTGTTTAGCAAAGTTTGTTCACTTGTTGGGAGACATGAGTATTGTTTGCAAACAATAGATCACCCGTTAATACATCGGACAACACATCTAATGGACACAAATGAGTGACAAATACAATGAGAAATGCCATCAAATCGTATCGAATGTAAAATAAATGTCATTTGTATTCATCGTTAGCCTTGAATTGCATCTCAAGGAGAGACCAATGGATTGCCAATGGATTGCCATTCGAGGCATACATACAATGCATTCAATGTTCACGTATTCAATGGCTTACCTATGGTTTCGATGAGAATCACAGCCAATGAGTGACCATTCGATTCACACAAACGTTAATCCAATGTGTGATGAGATGTGTAGTCAACTGATTGTGTCAAACGATGGCAAACACACGACACGCGATACACACCAACTGAACGGACGGCCATATTATCACTCAATGACTGAACCATTCCATCCACACAGCGATACACAACACTACAGCACACACTCCACAACACAGACACCACATCTTTCGGGCATTTGCTATATTACACTTACTAGAAGTTATAACACTATTTTAACAATTCTCATATTATTTATGTTCAATTCATATACTGTACAGAACTGTATAAATACCATATTCCATGGAATTATTTTAAATTAGCATATCCTAAATCTGCTTAATATGGGTTTAAGTGATTAGTAAGATCCAAAGAATTTGATCGAATTGGGATCTGGTTGAGAGCCAAAAGGTCCCTCTGCGAAGGGTTGACCATTGCCTGCAGATTCGCTGACCCCATCAATTGGAAGGGTCGAGGAATGGGGGTTTGGCTTCGGCCACACCTCCAATAATGTCTACCGAAGGCTCGTATAATATGGCAATAATAGTTGGATTCAATTAACAATAACAATATTTATTAGTAGTCTTCGAATAACAATAGTTTACATGGTTATAGGGAGTGCACCGAAGTGCAATATATATATATATATATATATATATA